AGACGACAATAATTTATAAACTCGCATAATAAGAACTATTCACAACATCAAGGCAGCCAATTATACACACACATATATTTATATATATATCAAAATATTTGCCTAAGGAAATCACCCATTACCGTACTCCAATAGGGAGACGAGAGAACGGGGCAAGGACTGGACACGGTTCGGTAGTTGGGTCAAAGCTCCTTCTGACACCCAATTTGATTTAGTCCACAATGTTTCTTCCTTGGTCCATTCACCCTCTCTCTTATCAACCAATTTATTCATTTTCAAGCCCAAGACCACTAAGGGCCCAATATACCAACACCAAATCCATCTTCACTTTTATTTTATTTTTTTTTTTTCTTCTCCTCTTTCTTTTCCTCTTTCTCTCGTTTTTTTTTTTATTCCTTCTCCATTTTTTTCCCAACGCGAAGAATGCATTCAAAACAGAAAGGAAAGATACAGAGTTGAGCCATTTGGCTATTCAGATACATCAGCCATTACAAATTTACAGCCAGCCAAACTATTCTAACCCAGCATAACTACAAAACAAAGAAGGCAGGCCTCTAAAAAGAGGTCCTAGCAATAGAATAAATCTAGTGGTCATTCTAATGGGCAGTATATAATACTGAGGCCCTTAGATTTCCACCAGACTCATAAATACTACCTAGCCACTGCTCAAAGTCTAGCTAGTGAAAAAAAACAGAAAAACTCTAAAGGACAGAAAAAGAAAGATAATGACTCAAGACACAATGTTGGAGAACTCCATCCAATCACAACAGACATAATCCACTATATTCTTCTCCTGAATCCAGCTTCTTTCAAAGATCCATAGGTTCTAGCTTTCCATAACCACCATAGGATATAGGTGGTTAGTTGGATCCTCTCTTCAGCTTCCTTACTCTCATGCATAAGGCATATTTCCTTCCACCATTCTTTAAAGCTTGAGATGCCCCTCTGCATGTTTATCCATTCCACTGGAGCCAGCTTCCACACCTTTTTTGCTCTGGAGCAGTTAAACAGCAGGTGCTCTGTTGTTTCTTCACATTCCCCACAGATTTGGCAAATACAGTCCACTGTGATTCCTCTCTTGCTGATATTGTCACTGGAAGATAGAATTCCTGAGAAGCACTTCCAGATGAAGTGCTTTATCTTCTTTTTAATTTTAAGCTTCCAGCTGATTTTCCTTACTTTGTTAATCCAAGTGGACTGAGAGCTTGTTTCTGGTATATCCAAATCATGAAATTTATTTTTAACCAGAAATTCATAGGAGGAGGCCACAGAAAAATTACCCTTCTTGTTTAGGCACCAGTAAAAGCTGTCTTTGAGATCCTTATTTATAGTGTTGATGCTCAGGATTGCTTCACATTCCTCTAGGGGGAATATTTGTCTGATAAGTGGCTCATTCTATGCACTCCTATCTGGTAGCATTAGTTCCCAGACCCAAGTGAGGTTGCTGGTCTGTTGTTCCCTTTGAGCTGGCTTTCTGTTTGGAAGTTTTGGGACCCAAGGGTGGTCCCAAATTTTAGTGTTTTGCCCATCTCTGATTATAATGAGAAGTCCTTGCTGGAGAATTGGCCTTACAGACATCCAGCTTCTCCACAGCCATGAGCAACTTCTAGGAGGCTTACAATCCAGCATTGAACAGTTTGGAAAATATTTGTCCCTGAGAATTTTACTCACCAGCAAATGAGGATTAGTGAAAATTCTCCACAGCTGCTTCAATGAATCCATTTCTTCTCCATTCCTCCCCCATCTCTCTTCTCACCTAAAATCTATAATCGATTTGTAGGACAATAATCAAAACCCAATTTCTCAGTAAATTGCTCTCAAATTCAACTCTCGAATTTCAGAATTTGCCTCTAATTCCGAATCCACATAGGTCCGGTGGCTCGCTTGCGGCGGTTGAAGTTCATGGCACTGCTAGCGCGATTCGATTTCTTGAGGGCGTTCGATCCGAGATGGCAATCAGTCGCTCAAAATGACGACAAATCAATAGGCTGAGGGGAGGGTCGCTTAACAGGTTGCGGAGGCGAGTTCTCGAAATCGAATGGGTGGCTCGGCGGTGAACGGTGACAGGTTCGCGATGATGGCGATTTCTCGATTGTGGTTGCGGATTCGAAGGTCTTGGGCCTCCTCGATGTGGTGAGCGGTGATGGCTGACCATGGTGGTTCACGGCGAGGCTCGGTGCTCGCGGATTGCGTGGGCTGTCGGTGGTGTGCGTGGGCGACATCGACGGCCTGCTCGCAGCGTACAGTTCGACGAGGCTCCTTGTTCGTTGATCGGAGATGAGTCCCGGCCGCTGATGCGTGGCCTCAACGGCTTCCTCGATGGCGGCGGGTTGATGGTGATGATGGTCGCTCTGCAACTGATCGCGGCAAAAAGAAAATTATACGCCGAAACTCGCCGGCTTTGATCGGCACTCCGACGGGACGCGACGGGACTCAACGGCTACGCTCGACCCTCCGAGGGGACTCGACGGGACCCGTCGGCTACGAACGGTGGTCCGGCGACGGGCAGCGGCCTGCTGGAAGTCTCCTCCTTGCGTGGCGGTGTTGCTCGGATTTTAATGGAGGAAGGAAAATAATATTAACGATCAAGGATGAACGATTAAAATTTCTTCTTCTTATGTGATCGGTTGCAGAGAAAAAGAAAGAAAAAAAAAATTGAACTTCCTTCTCCTGTGCTGTGAACGACAGAAAGATAAAAAGGGAAGAGAGAAAAGTTTACGGTTTGCAACGACTGAGGATAACAATTATATTACCATAATTGTAATATAATTAGACTTAACTCAAAATTTAAATGTCAATCATGGTTTAAAAATATGAAACGTTATGGGACACGGCAGATTGGTTCACGGCTCACGGGCCAGTTTTCTCGATTCGATACTTACGATATTTCAGGCTCGATTCAATCGCACAGTAAATTAAAATAAAACCGGGACATAAAAATATATATATATATATATATATATATAATACACAATAATTATTAATATATAATAAGCATATATCATACACACAAATAACATTTATTTAATAATAGTAATATGCATTTAGATATTTAATAACATTTAGTCATTTAGCACAATAATAATAATAATAATAATAATAATAATAATAATAATAATAATAATAATAATAATAATAATAACCTCAATATTGAATTAGGCAATTAAACATTAAATATAAATAATAATAACAATAATGCAAAATAATTAATCTCAAATAATCCATAATCAAACGGGGTATTACACTATGTTTGCATGATCCCAGGAATTCAAAATGTCTTTCAATCCGTTGTCTGTAATTCTCAAAGAAAACAAACTTGTTGGTCCCAATTATATTGACTGGAAAAGGAACTT